AAAAGAAAGGGTAAGGGAGGGGGGTGGGAAGTCCCAAACAAAGTGTAAGATTATATTTGAACAGCCCCAAAACCACGCTGGTCACACCTGTCCAACGTCAGCGAGAGTTTAAGGACCTGGCACACGTGTCAGGGGACAAACTGTTTTTGTACACCCTGCAACCTCCATGCAGTTTTTTTTTTGTGGACATCCACATTTAACTTCTGATTTCGATCTAACAAAACTCATATTGGTTACTTTTGATAGCAATGAGCATAGCAACAGTGTATTCCAATAGTTCCGTGACATTGTTTTAGCTATACACGTCTTGCAACTTTTGTTGCAACTTTAGCTAATTTTTCTTGCAACTTTTTGCAACTTTTGTTATTTTCAAATGCAACTTTCTCTGAGGACAGATATAATTGCCTCTACTCCCCAAGACAACAATTAGAACAGACATGCAGCTATTATAGAATGGCATCATGCAGAAGAGTTAACGCTCAGATGCTACTGCATCGCTAACAACAATAACATATACTGAAAAAGAAAATACAGGGTGATTCAAACAGAAAACGTCAAAATCATCCTGCGATAATTTAAAAAAATAAACAACACCCGAAAAACAGTAGAAAACTTCAGCTTAGATACTTGTGTAGTACACACCTTCAAGTTTTTATTTTATGTTTTACAAGTGCTCAATGTGGCCACCACCGGCAGCACGAACAGCATCAAGCCGATAAGAGAATTCCTCCCTAACGTGCCTCAGGACGCCTCGGTCAACCGTTTTGGTTGTAGATCTAGCTGTTATTTGATCTTGCAAATCCGCGATATTTTCTGGAAGTGGTGGAACAAAAACTTTGTCTTTAACATACCCCATTAGAACTGGCGATTTACTTTTCAGCAAACAGATTCGAATGACTTCATTTTTCAACAAGATGGAGCACCGCCCCATGGCATCTCAAGGTTCGAGCTTATCTGAATGAAAACGTGCCTCAGCGGTGAATTGGCAAGAGATTTGCTAAGAACTCACTCTCTGCGCGTGACCTGCCAGATCCCAGGACCTAACTGTATGTGACTTTTTCTTGTGGGGGTATGTAAAAGACAAAGTTTATGTTCCCCCACTTCCAGCAAATATAGGAGACATGAAAGATAGAATAACAGCTACAATCAACACGGTGGACCGAGACATCCTGAGGGGTGTTTGTTTTGGCGGAATTCTCGCATTGGCTTGATGTTGTCCGTGCTTCCGGTGGTACTTGTAAAACATACAATAAAAACTTGAACATATTATGTACAACACATCACGTCCAAGCTAGAGTTTTCTTTTTTCTGTTGTTTTTTTAAATAGTTTTTTTTTAAGTAAAGCGTGACAATTTTGGCGTATTTTTGGGTCATCACACTGTATAATGATAATGATAAAATTGAATCAAATTAAAGAAAGAAAATGGGGAGACCAAAGTAAGTAAGTTGTTACAAAAATTATAAAACATTGTTTTCTCTCTCCTGGAAAAAAATCCTTTTGCTTTCTGGGCTAAAAACAATTGGACAGCTTGCTGATGGCTAATCAGACAGCTACGTAGGGGAAATGAAGATGGAGGAAGGCGGAGTGGGTGGTGGGGGGTCGGTAGTTAATGTAAGCTGGCGGGTGCACTCAATCTCAATGCGTAGGCACATAAAAATAAAATTATTTTAAGTAGGTTACTCGATCTCAACACGTTAGCACTTTTTCTTGGTATGTGTTTTACGGCGCTCAAAACTGCATGGGGTTATATGAGCGTGCGGAACACATTAAACATATTCAGTTTGGTAGGAATTAATTTTGAATCTTGCCCGGGTGCTGGCCGAAGCCTACTCTTGTT